AATCTATGGAGATTGTACAACACACTTTTGAATGATCAGTGAGTCATTGAAGAAAGTAGGAAAGAAATCTGAAAACTCCTAGATTCAAGTAAAAATGAAAACACAACCTACCAGAACCTGCAGTATACAGCAAAGAAAGTGCTAAAAGGATGGCTTTAGCCATGAGTGCCTATACTAGAAAATCAGAGAAATTTCAAATAAAAAACCTAATGATATACATCAAGCTCTTAGAAAAACAAAAGCAAGCCATATCCCAAATAAGTAGATTTAAAGAAGTAATAAAAATTAGGGCAGAAATTAATGAGATAGAGACTAAAAGAAGAATACACTGAATCAATGAAACAAAATCTTAGTTCTCTAAAAAGATACACAAGATTGACAAGTTTTAGGCCAACCTAACCAAAAGAAGAAGGAAGAAGACCCAAATTAATAAAATTAGAGAAGAAAAAGGGCTTATTACAAAAGACACAATGAAATTCAGAAGATCACTAGGGAATATTTTGAAAACTTTTCTTCCAACAAACTGAAAAATGTAGAAGAAATGGTTAAATTTCTAGACACATATGACCTATCCAAATTGAACCAAGAAGATATAAATAACTTAAACAGATCTATAGCAAGTGATAAGACTGAAATAATAATAAAGAAACTCCCAACAAAGAAGAGCCCATGACCAGACAGATTCACTGCTGAATTCTACCAGACCTTTAAAAAACTAATGCCAATCAACCTCAAACTATTCCATAAGACAGAAAAGGAAAGAATGTTACCAAATTCATTTTACAAAGCCAGTATTACTCTAATATCAAAACTGGGTAAGGATGGAACAAAAGAAGGTTATAGACCAATTTCTTGATGAACATAGACACAAAAATCCCCAATAAAATACTTGCACACCAAATTCAACAACATATTAAAAAGATCATACATCATGATCAAGTTAGTTTCATTCCAGGGATGCAAGGATGATTCAAATATATGCAAATCAATAAATGTAATACCTCACATAAACAGGGTCAATGAGAAAAATCACATCCTTTCATGATAAAAACTCTGAAAAACTAGGAATAGTAGGAATGTACGTCAACATAACAAAGGTTGTATATGACAAACCTATGGCCAACATCATGCTAAGCAGAGAAACTGAAACCATTTCCTCTAAAGTCAGAAATAAGACATGGGTATCCACTCTTCCACTCTTATTCCATATAGTACTTGAATTCTTAGCTAGAGAAATAAGGCAAGAGAAAGAAATAAAAGGAATACAAATAGGAAAGGAAAAAGTGAAATTATTCTTTTTAGCAGGTGATATGATCTTGTATCTAAAACCTTAAAGATTTCATAAGGGCTGGAAGTATGGCTCAAGCAGTAGAGAGCCTGCCTAGCAAGCACAAAGTCCTAAGTTCACACCATAGTACCACACCCACACCCAAACACACACACAGAAGTGCAGGAAAAAAAGATTCTATCAATAACTCATAGCTCTCATAAACACTTTCAGCAAATATCAGGATATCAAATCAACATACAAAAATCAATAGTTTTTCTATACACCAACAATGAACAGGCCAAGAAAGAAATCAGGAAAACAATTCCACTCACAATAGCTGCAAAGAAAAAAAAATACTAGGAATAAACTTAACTAAGGAAGTGAAAGAAATGAAAATCATGAAACACTGAAGAAAGAAATTAAAGAAGACACAAGAAGATGGAAAGACCTCCCATGTTCATGGATGGGCAAAATCAATATTGTGAAAAATTACTATACTACCAAAAGCAATATACAGATTGTTTTCGATAACATTAATCACAGAAACAGAAAAATGGGGAGAAATGACCCAAACAATGTATGCACATGTGAATAAATGAATAATTTAAAAAAAAAGAAATAGAAAAATGAATCCTAGAATTCTTATGGGAATACAAAAGACCCCCAAATAGCCAAGGTAATCCTGAGCAAAAAGGAACAATGCTGGAAGTATCAAAATACCTGACTTCAAACTATACTACAAAGCCATAGTTGCAAAAACAGAAAAACATTATCATAACAACAGACACACAGACCAATGGAATACAATAGAAGACCCTGCTATAAACCCACACAGCAACAGTCATCTGATTTTCAACAAAGGCCCAAAACATATGTTGATGAAAAGATAGCCTCTTCAACAAATGATGTTGGGAAAACTGGATATCCACATGTAGAAGACTGAAACTAAATCCCTGTGTCTTGCTCTATTACTAAAATAAATTCAAAGTGAAAGAACTTATGTAAGACCTGAAACGTTTAAACTACTAAAGGAAAACTGGAAGATATAGGCATAGGTAAACAACTTCTTGAACAGCTCAGGAAATAAGAGCAAGGATTGACAAAAGGAATTGCATCAACAAAATGCTTTGGCACAGCTAAAGAAACAGTCATTAGAATGAAGAGACAGCCTAGGATGTGAGGGCGATCTGGCTGTGACATCTGTCACCCCATTGATCGCCAGGGTTGATTCTGCTGATCTGGCTAGCTAGGCGGGTGTCCCCTTCCTCCCTCACCACTCCATGTGTGTCCCTCCCGAAGCTGCGTGCTTGGTGGAAGAGGACGACCATCCCTGATAGAGGAGGACCATTCTAAGGTCAAGGGTATACAAGTAGCTGTACTCCCCTACTAGAACCTCCAAACAAGCTCTCAAGAGACAGCCTACAGAATGGGAGAAAATTTTTGCCAGTTATTCATCTGACAAGGGATTAATAACTAGAATATATAAAAAGCTAAAAAAAACCCTCAGCTCGATCTGGGACCTGGTGGCTCATGCCTGTAATCCTAGCTACTCAGGAGGCAGAGACTGGGGAATTGCAGTTTAAAGCCTGTCCCAGCAAATTTTTTGAGACCCTATCTTGAAAAATCCCATCAAAACAAAGGGCTGGTGAAGTGGCTCAAGGTGTAGGTCCTGAGTTCAAACCCCAGTACCGCAAACAAAACAAAAGAACTGGCTGCAAAAGAACCAATAACCCAATTCATAAATGGGCAAATGAACTGAACAGACATTTTTCAAAAGAAGTACAAATGGCCAATAAATACATGAAGAAATGCTCAGCATCCCTAGCCATGAAGGAAATGCAAGTCAAATGACACAGACTCCATCTCACTCTAGTTAGAATTGCCATCATCAACAAATGCTGGCAAGGATACAGGGAAAAAGGAACACTTACACATTGTTGGTGGGAATGCAAATTAGTGCAGTCACTATGGAAATCAGTATGAAAGGTTCCTCAAAAACCTAAAAATAGAACTACCATATGATCCAGCAATTCTGCTCTTGGGCATATATCCAAAGGAATGTAAGTCAGTGTACAATGGAGACACTTGCACACCCATGTTTATTGCAGCTCTGTTCACAGTAGCTAAGCTATGGAATGAGTCTAGATGCCCTTCAACTAATGAATGCATAAAGAAAATGTGGTATACATACACAATGGAGTTTTATTCAGCCATAGGAAAGAATGGAATTATGCCATTTGCAAGAAAATGGATGGAACTGTGATTATCGTGTTAAGTAGCATAAGCCAGGTTCAGAAATATAAATATTTCACATTTTCTCTCACACACAGAATCTACATTACCTGCTCTATAAAACAAGAATGTAAATATGGGGCTGTTTAAGGAGAATGAGCAGAATGGGGCAGAGGGCAAGAGAATAATGGGTGATGAATAATTTTGAAGTGCTTTTTGTCTATTTATAAAAATGGAATGAGCCCAACTAAAAGCTGTTTAAAAATTAAGGGGCGGGAGCAATGGGGGAAAGAGTAATAGAGGGGGTTATTCTGATCAAAGTACAGTGTATGCATGTATGTAAATACCACGGTGAAAACCTTTGTATGATTCATATACACTGATAAAAAGAAAACAGAAGAATTATTTATTTCTATGTAAAAATAAGACACGTTTGTATATGTGGATATATGATATACTCATATATATGTTTCTAGAAGAATCAACACAAACTCATGTGTTAATATTCCTAAATATTATAGGGTTAATTTGTGGGGGGGGGGTTGGGGGGTGGTACTGGGGATTTAACCCAGGGCCTCCTGCATGCTAGGCAAGCACTCTACCACTGAGCTACATTACCAGCCCTCCTGTTAAAACTCTGAGCTACTGTCAAACTAAATTGCCTAGGCTGGTGTCCAATTTGCAATTTACTTGCCTCACGCTCCCGAGTAGTTAGGATTACAGGTCTGAACCCAATGCACAGCCTAAAATTAAATTTCTTATAAAAGTTTTTAGGACCGTGAAAGCTTGAAGTGGCTGTGGTAAAAGATACTTTCAGGGAAATATCCTAAAACATATCCTAAAACATTGTTTCTTTGCTCTCTTGATCAACGCCCCCCCCCCTCGCATTTCACTTTATTGAAAAGCTGCTTTATTTCAACATTTTTACTTGTTACTTGTAATGGTTTTTAGCTGTGACAACTTAGTTCAATCAACTGCTTCCTGAGGTTTATAAACTGTGGGTATGTGTTTACAAACACAGACTCTTTTGTGTATCTCTTGTAGAGCCTGTGGTGAAAGTGAGATAGAAACAGAAATAGCGAGGCTTTCTTTTTCACTTTTTTGGACATCAATGCTAAGAACTGAGTCAGAAGGCGCAAGAGATTTGATGGATTTACAGGGAGACTCAGTTTAGCAGCCGCACGGAAGTGAAGCCATGGACAACCTCAGAGGTACTTATACAGGGTCCTGTCTGCACGTCTGTCCTGGGGACGTTCGCTAGGCGCTGGTGGGCCTTTACTCCGCTCAGTAACCGCGCAGGAACCCCTGAAGATCACCGCAGTCGTCCCCGGTGGACGCGTGGGGGTGGGGGCGGACCCGGGACAGAGGGAGTCGAAAACTACAATTCCCAGAGTGCTGTGCGTGGCGACGCGCTCTTCTTGCCTGGCCCCGCCCCCCGAGGTCGGGGCTTTTAGGGGCCGGGACCTGAGGACGCCAGGCGCCGGCCGGGTCTCGGCGGGGCCGCGCACGAGGGCGCGCGTCCGTCGGGTGTCGGAGCCAGCTAGTGTTGCGCCGCTGGGGGCGGCGGGGAGGCGTCCGGGCTCCGGAGCCTTGGCGACGCTGGCAGGAACCAAGTGGAGGATCAAGGTAACCGACGCTCGGCTCCGCTCACACCCCTCTTTCTTTGTGCGGGCTGTGGGCTCGTACCGAGCCCAGTCCGAGTCGTCACGCCGCCCCGAAACTCGAGCCCGCGAGTCGCAGCCAAAACTCCGCAGCTCAGAGCGCTGGGGCCCGGCAGCCGGAGCTCGCGCCCCCTCGCTCCGCGGCGTCGCCGGGTCGCCCCCGTTGGCGGGAGAACGGGTGCGTTCTCGGAGGGGACGCGAGCCCCGGCTCTGTCATCCTCGCGGGTGGCTCGCTCCTTGTAGGCTTTAAGGGAGAGAGGGGCGGGCAGGTGCTCCACGGGCTCAGGCTACAGCGGCTGTGTTGATGTCGTGGGTTCGAGGCCAGGAACGGCTGCCGGACGCCCCCGGGATCGGCTGCCTGCGGGGGCTTCCACAGCCCCGGGGCGGTCGCCCGGCCCGCACCCGCCACCCGCCCGCCACCGGGGCTCTCTGGCCGAGATGGGGTATCTTCTGTGGCGCGGAGTCACTGTGAGCAAGTGTCGCCCGGTGCTGCAGTCGATCGTTCGGTGGAGTCGTTTTAGTGCCGCGGTGACAGCGCTTTGCTCCTTCCCTCAGCTCTCCGCTGGGCTTGCTGGTTTCTTGGGTTAGGGGGAGCGAGTTGTCAGCATATAGTTTGTGCTTTCCAGCCGGTGCCTGGTCCTTCGCTGGCCTTGCACAGTCCTAGCGTTGGGGCGCTCAGGTTTGGGAAACCTTGTTGTATTTTTCCCTCTTGGCAGTGTTTCATGGTTTTCGTAGAAAGGTTTTTCAGTATTCCTTGTCGTCTGTTTTAATTGCACACCTTTCTTTGTTGCTTTTTGCGTTCGGCTTCTGTTACCAGTTGGAGAGAGTAGATACTTTGGGAAAGGGTCTTAGAACCTGGATTGACAGTATTTTATCTGCAGAGTGCATTTTTTTCCCTCTCTTACGTAAGTTGACAGTTGTTGGATTCTTGTTCTTATCTCTCCACGAGAAAACCCGCCTTCCTCCATCTCCCTCATGTCCTGGCCCTACTAGAGGGTGAGTGCACTTGGGTAACCAGTGCACCAGTGCACCAGTGTTAATATTGCTGGCGCCTGGAAAGCTGCTTAGAGATGGCTTTGGCATTGGCTGTTGCTTTTCCTCCTACTTCCTCCTGGCACCTTTCGTTCCTCAGTCAAAATGACTGACCCACTTAAAACTTTTAGTGACTTTATACATTGCCTTTTAGATACCAAATAGTATAAGCATAGATATAAAAATAAATGTCTAAAGATACTCTATTGAATTGTATCCAGTTAGCTTTATCATTATTTTTCTGTGTGTGTGCATATGTACACAGCAGTTTGGGAGATTGAAATCAGGCCTTTGTGCATACTGGGCAAGTGCTCTACCCCTGAACTACATCCCCAGCCCTCATTTTTACATAAAGCCACTAATTCTTTTAACATTTAATAAGATTACTGTTATTGCTTTTTAAAATTATATATTCTGTAATAATTGCAAATTCTATATCCCCACAGGAAACCCAATTCACAGTCAGTGAGAGTAATTTAAAAACAAACAATGTTTTCCCTTTAAGAAGAAAGTGGAGTGGATAAATTTTGGCCCCACCCTCTTTAAAAATAGATATTATTTTTAGAGTAGTTGTAAGTTCACAACAAAATTGAGCAGAAGGTATAATAATTTCGCATATAATCCTGGCCTCACAGAAACACAACTTTCCTACTGTCAAGATCCCTCACCAGAGTGATCCATTTGTTAAAATTGTTACTGGTAGTGACATTATCACCCAAAATCCATAGTTTGCATTAGGGCTCACTCCAGGTATTGTACATTCTTGGGATTTGACAAATGACCCCTTTGTTTTACAAAGAACTTTTGAGAGCAGTAGAGAACCAGAATGTGTTGTCACTTAAAAAGAGGTTAAAGAGGCTGGAGATGTAGCCCAGTGGTAAAGCAAGCCAGAGGCCATGGGCTCCATCCTACACATACACATAAGAACATGCCTGCACACACACAAGAATATTTTGAGCATCCTAAAAATTAGTTTCAGATAGCTTTCATGTTTTAAATTGTATGCTTAAGTTCTTATATTCAAATCCTCAGCAAAGAATCATTTAATTTTGTATATTAACAACTAAAAAGATGAATGAGAAGAAATATTTCATAGAATATCAAAATGTCATGTTTTTCAGTGTTAAACTCATTAGCATAACCATACCTACTCTTTTCTGAAAAAATGTTTTATATTAGCAAATGAAGCAAGAGGAAATTGAATATTTTAAACACATTAAGTTCTGTTTACTGATGTCAAGATAAGTCTGCAATAAAATATGGTCCACTAGGCTTTTGTTATAGTTAATGTCTGTTTGTTTTCTCTGTTCTGAGGTGCTTTGGTGGAAGTATTAATATATAATAAGGACTGATAATGTACTCAACTTAGTTCTGGATTAGAATCCTAGCTCTCCATTCATGTTTGTGTGACCATGGCAAGTTGTTATCTGAACCTCTGTTTCCTTAGCTATGTAAGAGAGATAAAAATAATATATTATGCTTCTGTTTTCCTAGAATTGTTGTAAGGATTAGTTTTACTTATGTGGAAGCATGTTATATACCATAATGTACTATAATATTTATAGGTAGCATGAGTCACATGCTATATTTTAAGATACCACCAGTACAATTTGATGGATACTCCTGGTGCAAATGCTGTTAACTTTTTTCTTTTTAAAGGATTAGTTGTATAAACAGTGTATTATTTGATTGCTCCCCGGCCTTTTGGCTAATTTCAAGTGGAAAGTATATTATTTGGTTGGTTATTAATGATTTAGTTGGTTCCTAAATCAGAGATAGACTTATGAAAGAGCGTTGGAGAGACCATGGGAAATTATTTACTGCCTCTCTGATTCTTAACCTGTATTTGTTGGTGTGACAAAATGTCTTCCAAGAGTCTATGAATTCTGTGTGCATTTTGTATCTTCTGGCTTCAACAGATTTAAAAAAGAGGTTCGTGACCCTCCTCTCCTTTTCTTCTTGCCTTCCTCCTCCCTCCCTTCTCCCACCCTTCCTTCTTTTATTTCTTTCCTCTACGTAGCCCAGGCTGGCTTCAAACTTGAGATCTTCCTTCTTCAGCCTTCTTAAGTAGCTGGGATTACAGGTATGATCACCATTCCTGGCAAAGTGTTTTTTTTTTAAAGGGAAAGTGTTGAGTTTTGAACCCAGACCCTTGCACATGCTAGGCAAATGCTCTGCCACTAAGCTACATCCCCAGTCGTACCTCCTAAGGGTCCTAAGAAAACTAGCTTCAGTTACCCAGGCAGGTTTCTTTACTAGAAATTTTGCAGATTATTTTTAAAATTAGTTTTTGGAGGACAGAAAAGAGAACAAGTAATTTTTGAAGTAGAGTGCCTATTTTTCTTCCAGAAGTACAAGTTGATATTTATGATAAAGTGTCTTCTTCTGGAGGTGATATCACTGATGGGTCCATTGTCATTGAGCAGATACTGTCTATTTTTCTGTTGCCTGACAGCTTTGATGGGCACTAGAATAGATGGGAGAGTACTTTATTAAAGCCAGCATGTTTGACAATTATTTAAAATTATAAATATAATTTGGTTTACTCTAAAATTTGGACATTCTTCTTCTCTACTAAATACCAAATGCTAAAGAAAAGTAAGTATTTTATCTTTCAAAGTAGATATTTATGTAGCATGTCTTTGTATAATATTTCTTGTATGTCAGAGTGTAAAGATGTATTAAGTCCTAACTCATGATTATTTTGACTTACAGTATTGCTGGTTTGGAAAGAATACAGATATATATGTTTTTGAGAAATTTATAATTTATTTGTATGTCTATTGTTAGATTATAATTTGTGATTTTAATTCGTAACATTTGAAATGAATCTTATTTGTATCTTTGGAACTCAGAGTTAAGCTATAGGTCTACGTTTAAATTCATTCTTATAATAGAGTTTGCAAGTAAGCTGTGTCTAACTGCCCTATTTTCCTTGTGTAGTGATCGTTTGCTGGGCTATAAGGTTTTACGATTACAATGTGAAGGCATTACTATTTCTGGATCAGTTACGAGTAGCATTCCCAAGGCTTGGAGAGGAGCATGAGGTGGATCAAGTGAAGCTATACAAACTTATGAATGAGTCTCATTGCAGCAATGTCACCTTTTTCTTTGAGATCTTTTTTCCCTTTTGATGTTGGTCAGTATTTTCATTTGAAATCTAACTGTTTTTCAAAGTTCAAGGTTCAAAATCAGTACCTGGGAATTTATAGAATAATTTAGTACAGTTGTGACTCTCTAGACTTGCTTTTTATGAAAATAGGGGTTTATACAGACCTCAAAGTTCAATTAGAGGTGAATGCTAGCATTTGTAGAATAATTCATGTATAAAAGCATAGTCACTGTACTGTTATACTGTCTTTATTTTGATGCAGAGGTTGCTTAATTTATTTTGATATTGCAAGTTTGAATTAAATTGATGGCACATGGAAAACACAGGATAATAATTTCAGAAAAAAATTTTTCCCTACGTGAATACCATTATTTTCAGAAGATTATGGTTTTTATGGGTATTCTTTTCCTCTTGAACTTAAAAAGAAATTCTAAAACATTTCCTATGTAGGGAGAATATTATTAATACTACTATTTAGTCCTCTCTAAGACATTTATATATAGGCACTTCTACACAGAGTTAAAATTACTGGGGTCTTTGGCCTACTGGTAAGACTTGGATTTTGGAGTCAGGCAGACCTATGTTGACATCTGGGCATTACCACTTTATAGCTAAAACACCTTGGGTATGTTTCTACCTTCTCTGAGCCTCTTTACCTACCATAGTAAATAAAATTAAATAAAAATAAGACTAATACTTTTTTAGTTGTCCTCAGGATTGAAATGAATACATGTAAAGTAAGTCATTATATCAGTTTACTTATGTATGTAGCTTATGTGTCAGGCAATTAACTCATTTAAGCCTTATCATAAATGTGGTAT